GAGACAGAGTCTCACTTTATCACCCTTGGTAGAGTGCCATGGCATCACACAGCTCACAGCAACCTCCAACTCCTGGGCTTAGGCGATTCCCCTGCTTCGGCTTCCCAAGTAGCTGGGACTACAGGCACCCGCCACAATGCCCAGCTATTTTGTTGTTGTTGTTGCAGTTTGGCCAGGGCAGGGTTTGAACCCACCACCCTCAGTATATGGGGCCGGTGTCCTACTCACTGAGCCACAGGTGCTGCCCATACTTCCCCACTTTATAGATCTGGAAATGAAAGTGAAATGACTTACCCAAGGTTATATAGCTAGTTTTATAACCAGGATTAACCTTCAATCTGCCTGACTACAAAGCTGAAACTCTTTCCATCATATCACACTGCCAATTGATACCATCAGCTTTTTCCCATGACAGTGTTATTCTTCCATCCAGCTACTAACCAGGCCTGACCCTTAGCTTCTGAGATCAGATGAGACTGGGTGCATTCCCAGTGGTATGGCAGTAGACATGACAGTGTTATTCTTTTTTTTTTTTTTTTTAAAGTGGACAGGAAGTAGGATTTATTATTGGTAGGCGCAATTGATAGGCAGCAGTGTTAAGTCCTCACGAGTGCAGGGCCCGCCACTTGTCCAGGGGGCCACGATTGGGGATGTATTTGACCCCACAGCCATCTGGGATGAGCCACTTCTCAGCCACCATGTCTTCAAATTCATCTGAGTTAAACTTGGTAAAACCCCATTTCTTGGAGATGTGAATCTTCTGACGGCCAGGAAACTTGAACTTGGCCCTGCGAAGGGCCTCAATCACATGCTCCTTGTTCTGTAGTTTGGTGCGGATGGACATGATGACTTGGCCAATGTGAACCCTGGCCACAGTGCCCTGGGGCTTTCCAAAGGCACCACGCATACCTGTCTGGAGCCTAGATCGGGGACAGCACAAGGTCTAACATATGAACATGTATTGGAAAGGAATGTCTCCAAGGTCCCTTAGAGCAACCTATACAAGCAACAGGCTGCATACACTACCGAGGAGGCTGCTATTTGCGGCCAATGCACACCAGGCCCCCATGAGGAAAGGAGATGACAGTGTTATTCTAATCAAAGCTTTATCATACAGACTATTCACTGATCCACAACACTAAATATAAAAACAACACACATGCACACAAAAATCAAGCTTTCTTACTCTTCAATCTTTTGGTGACGAGCTTCACAATCTTCTCTATAAATCTGTATCTTGGGCCGATAAATATATTGACTTAACATCAGGTCTTCTGGAGTAGGTGGTGTGTTTATAGCAAACTGGAAAAAAAAAGTCCCTCAGAACTGATATCTTGAGGACAGAACCACATACAGGAACTAATTGAATTTCAGAGTATATATTTTTAGAAGTTCTATGAAGAAAAATTTGAATATGCTATTAAGTTCATATTTGTAATAAGCTATAAGTTGGAATTTATTATTTATTTATTTTTTAGCACTGGAGTCTTACTACATTGCCCAGACTGGTCTTGAACTCCTGAGCTCAAGCAACCCTTTTGTCTCAGCTTCTTGAGTCACTGGGACTACAGGCATGAGTTACCATCCCTGGCTCAAGCTGGAATTTGAATTCAAGTCTCTGACTTCAAAGTCTATTTCCCCATGCATGTTTAGTGGAAATATATCTGGGTCATAGATGTCATTGATACCATCAACATTCCATTCACATAGGATTGAAAGTGGTTTGAAAACAGCTATTGTTATTTTAAGAAAATCAATACCACCTAAAAATTCAAATTTACCAGGTACCTGTTTATTAAAAAAAAA